CCAGGGCAAATGTGCCGTATAGCCTCGAATCATTCGTTTCTTCCTGACAGAGAATGCAGGTTCCACTGGGGTACTTCCAGAGCTTGGCCTCGGGAGCGGCCTCGGGCTCCGACTCAAGATCGCTGAAATCCTCCTCTCCCCAATCAATGGCGCCTTGACTGTTCAGGAAATTCTGCTGCTGTTGTTGAAACTGAGCCATCACCCTTGCCTGCCGCTCAAGTGCTTGTTTCTTCTTTAACTCCTTCTCACTATCAACATCAATGGCAGGAGAATTCGTGTCCACTCTGTCGAATGGGAACGTCAAGTAAGCCGTAGCAGAAGCATACGCCCGTGGGCGCTTCTGCCACAGACGCTTGAGAATGTGACGAATCTTCGGCCCGCAGGCAGAGAATTCGGGCATGACGGATATCTTCTCTAGCAAGCCGATGATGGTCAGATTGCCCGCCTGAGTTCCTCTGGCTCTGGACAATGCATTAGAGATGAATGATTCCCTCGCCTCATCTGCCATCTCGTCCTCCTGACTATTGTCCTCAAGGGTGGCGGCCAGGACGAGATGTAATACCACTTGAAGGAAGGTCTCAACGCGGGTAGGTGGGATGTTCGGCGAACATTCCTTTGACGACATGACATAATCGAGGCAATGATGGATAAGCTGAGCGAAAAGCGCAGTCCTCGTGAAATGGGAAAGATCAGAGAAAGCGCCGGAAGTGATAGGTCGCAGATGTGGCTCAAAAACGATATCTGACGCTTTCTTTCCCGTCTTTTTAGCTACCCATTCCCTGTAGATGCTCTCTGCCTCATCTCGCTGATTTTTGGTGTAATGAGCGCTATAGGGGTCAATGAGATCAATATATTCAGGCTTGAGCTCAAAAGTGCCAGTGTCGTTCAGCCCTTCAGGTGGACGGAATCCTGCAACCTCTTCCAAGGTCTCTTGGAACATGCTCGAATCAAGTAGTTTATCACTCAAGCGCGTTGATAGGTCGGAGAATGAAAGAGGCTTGAAGCATAAAACATGGGCAATGTCTCTTCGGATGCTGTCACGAGTCACAGTTTCGTTATCGTCGATGGCCTCGAGTGAATTTCGGTCAGTCAGCAGGATGATCAATAAATGCACAAACTCCTCGGCTACATCAATGATCTGCGCGTCCTCGTAGCCAGCACGTGGAGTATAGTTTCTGGTCATCCAGTCCACCATGCCGAAACGATCTGCTATCGATGCCAGAACCCGGCTTGGATCGCAGGTCACTAAAGCGGTCTGCAGCAGAAAGATATCGCGGTAATACGCAAAGTCACGCGATGACACCCCACGATATTGCGACATCTGATGCCGAAGACTGAGGCCATTGCGAACCCACATTCCGGCCTTCATCTGTGCCAGCCACGCGCATACTCTCAATGGGTAGTCAAACATTGTAAGCAGCAAGTCATCGGGAGTGAGGGAGCTGTCGCGAATAATATTGTCGTTGGCCATGCGAGCGGCACCTAAGAGAACATCGCGCATTTGAACGTCGCTCACATTACGCGCACATTCGAGCAACCACGAGAGTGTGTAATGCAGTGCATGGTGAAAGCTGATAGACCCCTTTTCGACGACAAAGTCCACCACGCGATGACGCGGAATTTGGCCAGTGTGGTCGACCTCGAAATCAAAGCACGGCAGCAGCTTGAAACGGACGTACTCTTTGACCTCTGCCTGCTCGAATCGCTGGCGCTCCAACCCGGCGGAGTGAACTATTGCCGAAACAGTAGCCATTCGGATTGCCCTGAACAGATTCTTTCCACCATCGACTTCAGGATTGCGGAAAGCTTCACAGAACTGGCGGCAGAGACGATTGATTTCTCGCATCAGAATCGAAGCGCTTATCCAGGCGTCTGGCTCGTACTCAACATGTTCCCCAACTGCGCGGATATTCGGACAGATACCCTGGGAAAGCTTGACAAGGTCTAGGAATTGAGAAAGATATTGCTCCTCAGTACGAACGTGGTGCTGTACATACTCGGATTGCAAAAGGTAACGCAGATCCAGGAAGAAGTGGTAAAGGCGCCGGTTGGTGACTGTGCCTGCGTCAAACGCCAATGTTGCGTTCGGATTGACCTCATATGCCTCGCCGACCTGTCTTGTGGTCAAGAACGTGTACAGGATAGCCATCACCTTGGTCAAAAAGTTTCCACGCCGCACGATCTCTTCAGTTATCGACGGCGTTGTGAGGATCTGCAAGGAAAGGTTCACAATAGAGTGATCTGGCTCTCTATCGGCAATGAGGTATAATTGCGCCAATGCGGTGTAGAGGGCCGACATGCGCAGGCCCAAAATTCGTTTGAATTGCGGAACACTGACCACGGTGCCGATGTAAAGATCGCGAAGATCAGTGCGCGTTTTCTTCCACAGTCTCAGATCGAAGAGAATCATCCAGTCCAGTCGCGTACGCTGATAAAAGTCCTCGTAGACAGGTACGTTCTCCCTGCACGAAAAGCCAGCAGGTCGAGCCAGCCAATACCCTGGCGCCCTGGCTGGAGGGGGCTTGACCACCCCGGAGGGAGTTTTAGGAATGGCAACGGTGGAGATGTCAGCGCATTCACCGCTGTCGTCAGCGCTGTGCTCGTCACCGGCCGGATGCATGTCGTGCTGAGCCTGTTGTGCGTCCTGCGCTGGAGACTGCTCTTGCTGCGCTTGCAATTCCTCCCGTTCCCGTCGTTCCTGCTCATCCATCAATGCCATCCGCCTCTGACGCAGATCCTCGAGGATAGTCGCCATTTCGAAGGTTACGGTGTTATCAGCATTGCCCATGACCATATCTTCATCGTCCTCCACCTCTTCTCGCAATCTGTTCAAATCGATCTCCATCTCCTCGTCCTCGTCATCCGCATCTTCATGCGTCTCGGCATGATCCTCGTCATCGTCGCCCTCTCCTTCGTCATTACCATTACCATTACCTTCCTCATCATCGTCAATGTCCGCTTCAGGCGCGAACATCACTTGAGCTTGAGGGGCAACGGCAGCCAGCATTAACGTGCGGTATGGCGAATGATCCTGCCTTGCGTGGTCATCGATGCCTTTCAATCCAATACTGGCGTTATAGGCACCACTGCCTTGTCGCCAAGGACTAAGAAGCTCTTCGCAGATTACGTGCCGCAAAATCTGATCGTCTTCCAGTACGGTGCACCCCGCAATATCAGAAAGCCATTCGACAATAGTTCCGCACATTTGCTCGCGGAATGTATCGCGAGCAGATCGCACTGTAGTGGTAACCTTGATCTGCTCGAGGACTTGGGATACCTTCAGCAGTTGGGCCAAATCCTTGGATTGTCTGACCACGGTCCTCCCAATGTCATTGGTTTCGTAGGCCTTTTTCTCACCAAAGCGGATTCGTTCCCGGCAAGCCCGAGCGACCTGATTAGCTACGTCCCGAATAGTATGTTTCTCATCATTCCAGAGGGCACAAGCCCATTCCGGTTCTTCCTCCGCCTGATCTCCACCACCATACCAATCTCCGGTGAGACGGGATGCCACTTCATCCTGTCTTATGCCATCCTCTGTCTTGGGTAACCTCAGCTGTTCCGGAGAGCACGAAATGACATCGCAAAAATAGTCCATCACTCGGGAAATCGTAAGTCTGATATTTTCCGCCCAATCCGGGGGCAGGTGAGTCTGAGCGCGCTGCTTGCCCTTGGTGTCGCCGCGATCGGTATGAATCGCGCAGAACAAAGGATACCGCCAGGCTTCATCGTCGCCGCAGTCGCAGCAACCACAGTTACCCGACGATAGCGAAATCTGGTACTGATGGCCTGAGTGGTCAGAGGCGTCAAAGCATTTACTACACAAGACGCACGTATCATCGACGGCACAGGTAACGCATCGATATGTTGCCTCCCCGGCTCGGAAAATATGACCGCATCGCTTTCCCCGCGCAGCTTCGGTGTACTCTGCTCCTTCTTGAGCACCTTGTGCTTCAGCTAGCTTCCATGGTCCTTCCGGAAACCCGTTCGGGAAGAGCTGGCGTAAACGGTCTTCATCGAAGCCTACTAGCGAACGAAAGAGGAGCTCGAGCAGATCTCGCTCGGCCTCGGGTCCATAGCGACAACCGTGTTCGAAGGGAAGCCGAAGGAGGCCTTCACCAAGTTTTCTCTCACATTCCGTGAGCATCATTCAGCTTGGTATAAATGTAGATCCAACTCTCATTCAGCTCCCCAAAGCGGGAGTCAGCACTGCGTAGAGTCGGTTGTGGTGAGACGAAACTCCGTGCGGCGGCGGGACAATGAGAGTGATTCCGAATGTTCCACTGCGTATGGATAGATAAATTGGCAGGAAAGCGTTGACGTCGTGAAGGTCGCTAAAATAGACAGACAAACAGACGATATATGGAACAAGAAGATCTGGAGATAGTGTAAACCTAAACTCAAAACAAAAAAAATAAACGTATTAGTTGGCGGGTGAATTAGAATATGGGAGAAGGATATGATCCTCGGCGGGGCGAAGAGCTCTGGGTAAGCCTGACTGAACACAGCTGTACAGATCAAACTCACTAATAAACAGCTTCAGATCATGAGAATCTTCCAAACTCTCTTCCTCTGTAAGTCCACTAGATCAAAGCTATGAAGGACAGGCAAAAAAGATATTACAATAAGAAGAAGTAAAGCCCAGTGTGTTGATGAGCAGCAGCAGCTACCTATGATTGCATCGTAGCACGCAAACAGCGGGTGACCGCTGAATGTCTTTTGCCGCCACTGAATCCCCATTCGCGCATCATTCTCCCCACTAGAAAAGGACTTGATAGGCAGCGTTCCACTTTCTGAAGAACAAGGATCGAACCAATTGATGATGAAGGGTTGGTTACAGCTTTTCCAAATTCTATTGCATACAATCGGGCTGAAAATAATAACAACAATTCCCCCTCTGTACTCAGCAGTAATATAACATAGGCGTCAGGCAACATCCCCCAAGGATGCAGCTGACGAGAATTGGTGCTGCATCTCTATTCCTCTAGCGAGCATCCACAAATCTAGTCTTCTTCTTCCTCCTCCTTGTTCATGTAACGGTGCTTGATGTCCTTCCATTGCCGCTGTAACGCGTGTGTCATCAGTCAAACGTTCCGCCAGTGTCTCAGAAAGGGACAGGTATCGACGAAGGCAACGTACACCGCGGTTCATAGTATCCCAGATCTTGTTGGAAGTAGTGTCAAAGGCCCTATTCGGATAGCATTGTCAACGATTGTGTCTCTTCGGGTCCAATCGGGTTGCAAACGTACATCTCGAAAGCGAAGGCACCGGCAAAGATGGTGGTCAGGTATACCGCGTTTCTGCGGATCAGGCCCCTATTAATCGCAAAAAATAGGCTAGGTTAGCGATGCTCGAAAGTCGTCCTCAAAGGATCACGTATGGGAAGACATGCTGGTAGATAGCGGAAGCGATCTGTGACGGAGGGACCGGAGTTAGCCAATTGCACATTCAGCATTCACAATACAACTTCAGCAGTACTTACAGCACCGGCCATTGCGACTTTGAATGACTTAGATGAGAGGAGGGCGAGAAAACAGGAAGACGAGCAAACCCAGTTGCAGACGAGCGAGGTACTGCCAAACGGAGAGGTTGAATTGAAGTTTCGAGCCGGAGCGAAAAGCAGCAGCGGGAATCACCGGGTCGCTGATTGGTCGACCGGAACAAGTCTCACGCAGAGCCTCCGGGTGTCCGCCTCTAGCATTTCTCGCTCAACAATCAATAATACCAACCCTTCAGTTGATAGTCTTCCTTCTAGGCTGACACTCACTGCTAAGCAAAATTATCTCAATCTTCGATTTGCGAGCGATTACTACAACTCTGCTAGATCAAGCCTTAATGGCGTCCACAAATTCCGGCATCACCACTGACGCCTCAACCGGCGAACGTTACATCCCCTCTTCAGTCCGTCCGGACGGTTCCAAGCGTCGCGAGATCAAAGTTCGGCCAGGTTACCGGCCACCAGAAGATGTCGAACTGTACAAGAATCGCGCCGCAGCGGCTTGGCGAAACCGTGGTTCTGGCGGGGTTCCAGGCGCCGAGGGATTGACCGAGGCGAGCGAAAACAAAGCCAACACAGCAGCCAGCAACAAGAACGCGAAGCGGCGAGAGGCGAAGAAAAAGGCCAAGGCGGCGCAGGAGTCCGAGCCCGCTTTGACGTCGACTCCGGCCAATGGACAGAGTGTGCGGGATCTGGAGAACTGGCGTTCGGGTGCGTCTGCTGAGAAAAAAGACTCTACCGCTGAGGCGCAGCCCGAAGTCGATCCTGAAGCGGAGAAGGAGAAGAAAGCACGGAACCTGAAGAAGAAGCTCAGACAGGCGCGTGATCTGCGGGACAAGAAGAACCAGGGCGAGGCGCTGCTGCCCGAGCAGTTGGAGAAAGTGATCAAGATCCAGGAGTTGATTCGTCAGCTTGATGCACTGGGCTTTGATGCTAATGGCGACAAGAAGGACTCTACTGAAGAGAAAGAGAAGGAGAAGGAGAAGGAGAAGGAGGGTGCCTGAACGAAATTGTGAGCAACATGCTTCTGAATCAACAGAACGGACTGCGCACTACTGTTCGAGTCTTTCAGCAGTACTCGACATCTCAACTCTCGGATCGCTGCACAGTCTTCTCTCAATACGCTATCATACATGGCTGCCGGACATATGTGTATGGCCGTGACTACAGGTGTCTTATCTCCGGCAGCAACGACAGCCTTGGCTCCCAGGCGCCGTACGTCCATCACCCGTTGGAGGAGGGATTATGGGCAGACGACGACAACACGTCCTCGTCCGAATCAGTCTCAATTGAATGAACTCGAACTACGCTGGGCTGGTATGGTCAAAGATGAAGAGTGATTATCTCAAATTGACTCGTCCGCAGATCACCCACACATCCGTACCAATGTGTTCAAATGCCCGATAGTCATCAAATTACAGACTAGGAAAGATTTTAGTGCATTCAATGGTCATTCCATTATTCTTTCTATTTGCAAGATAGCGCATATTGTACAGTTGTGCAAGGGCAAGGGTGCCCCGACACTAACTAGAAGAGATAATTGCGTTCCGACCTGTAAGTCTCTGTTATTCGCACAGGAGAGGTTGGTATACCGCCCTCTAATTCCCAGCCCTGCCAGTTGTACCTAATCCAGGGAACATCACTGCTCGGTGCATCGAGCTTAAGTGCGCCAACACCGTACGACGCAGCCATGTACGCCTGCCGAACACAATCCATCACCCCCACGCCATTATACCAATTTCCAGCCAGAGTCAACCGATTGTTGAAATCCTGGCGCACTGTTTGTGAAAGGTCCCGCATGCGCGACAGATGACCGACCGTGTACTGGGGAATAGCTTGACGTTGCAGTTTAACAGCAGCCTGAAGAGGCTGCTCGGTGATGCCAAGATGTCTATTGAGCAGGATTTGGCACATCCCAATGGCGGTATCCGGGTCTGGGTAGTCTGACGTCTTCCAGCCATCCCAATAATGCCCTCCCAGCATGACGGTGAGCTTGGTGCAAGGCACTGTGTCCTGGCCTACACTAGAGTCGGAACCGAAGATCACCCCTAGGGCCATCTCGGGATTCTGTTCGAACGGAACCGACTGCGGGATCAAGTAGCCGAATCCGTTGACAGGGAGTAGATTGGGATTCTCATACAGAATGTTGACAACCATCACACTCACGGCGTAGTTGTGTTCTTGCAATTGGCGAATCGAGTTTTGAGGCAGCCTCTGCCCCGACCTTGTAGGCGTGGCCAACTGCTGTGCCAGGTTGGGCGGCGGGTTCGTTGCAATCACGCGGTTATGAGTATTCGACTTCCTCTCTCCGAAGTGGATCTGTGACAAGCATATCAGCGACGAACTTATGTAGTTATCTCTTACTCAGAAAAGTTACACTTACGGTCAGATCGGAGTTGACGGGATTTGTGCTGATAGCCTTCACCTCTGTACCGGTCAACAACTCCACTTTCCTGGATTTGCGCAATGCCGCAGCCAAGGCATCAGTAAGCTGCTGCACGCCGTTTTTGAAGGTGATAACACTGGCGTCTCTGACCAGCGTCTTCAAACTACTCCAATAGCTCTTCTGCTTTGTCGCAGCCAGCGAGTGCAGCGCCAGCCAATCATCCATCAGATTGTACGTGATATCTGAGGTGGCTGCATGTACAAGGCCCCAATTATGCGGCGGTCATCATGCTCAAGGTCCCTGTAGGTTCCCAGCAGGGTCTGCGCACTCAGCCGGTCAATATCGCCGGCGTAGATACCATGATACACGGCCGAGACTATGTTATCTGCGATCTCGGGGGCAAGTCGCCGAGAAATAAAGTCCCTCACAGACTCGTCGGAGTCCACAGACTTGGGCCCCGGAGGCAGCTTCATTGGCTCCGTCACAACACTTCGCACGAGTTTGTCAAAGACAGGTTCCGTAAGCAATGTCCGAAAGTTCGAGTAGAGGTCTGAGAACCGGCTACGGCTGGGATCGCGACCAGGCATGCGAACAAGGTGATCGGGGTAGTAAATGTATCGATTTTGGGCCGCGGGGGACGACCTGGCCGTGATCAACACATCCTCGAGTAATTCTAGCTCGACCAGCTGCAAGACAAAAACAACAATGGGTTAGCTATCCGGATAACTACCAGAGGAGTATGTTTTTCCCGTACCAAGTCAAGAAGTGGGAGACACGCGGGAGTTGCAGCCCGCAGGGTCCTTGGCCCATATTCAAATACAACTTTCCCATCATTGTCGCCGACAGGGATGGTTTCCGACATCATCCAGCCCCGACTCGCTGTTGTTTCTCGTACAGAGTGATCTTGGTGCATTTTGGATCCTGCGACAAGCGGAAGGCCGTCGCCAGACCTGTGATGCCACCTCCTATAACCGCGGCGTTGTAGGTGCCTGTATGCAGTGAGTGCTTCTGGCCATTGCGGGCGAACGCCAATGGCGTCCGCGCTGCCCTCAGTGCACGGCTAGGGGCACATGGCAGTCGCATCTCAGTGATGGTGTGTAGGGAAGGCTATCGAAGGGAAGTTGAAGGAACAGCATGATTGAGTGAGGCACGATCATGCAAGAGGACATCTCCAACTTCCGACCCCCGGCGGTAAATTACCAGTAAGTATGGTAAACCTCAGTACAACCGCCATATTGCTCAATATTGTCGAATATTTCTTTGAGAGGTACAGCTACAGGTGCTCATTGATAGAAGAGAATTTAGGTATGACGCATTTCGAAGCCGTTCATGGATACCCATATTCTATTTACAAGCCAACATGATGTTCTGTCATTACACTGCTCCCATGAATCGGTGAGAAAATCAACAAACGCCCTTCCAGCCAGCCATCGTCCACAAATGAGAATAATACATGAGAATCAAGCTCGGACAATCTGTTTTGAAGCAAAGTTCTAGTTCAACTGAGGCCCCGTGTATGACCATTCAAAATTAGGAGATATCGTAGCGTTCGGGGGTATCACGTTATAATTTCCTGGTTCTGATTGCCATCCTCGCTGGCAGCACCCGGCTTGATCAGCTCTTCAGCAGCATCCTCATCTGAAACAAACTTTCTCTCGCTGACACGGGGCTTGTTCTGATCCGGAGTCCAGACTTTGTCGGAGAAGGCACCTTTCTGGCCTTCCGCATGCTTGTAAGGACAGTTTGGGTTGAGGCATGGGTTGAATTTGCAAGGTGTTTGAAGATGGGTGAATTGGCAACCTTCTGCAGTGCAGTCGGCACCGTTGCGGCACAGAGGTTTTGACGGGTGTTTGAAGGAGCAGTGAGGGTTGGTACAATGGGGGAAGAACTTGCAGAGCTCCTCGGCCTGGTGTGCGGACTTGACGGCGGGAGAAGGATGGCGCCCTGTACATTTCCGGTTTTTGCACGCGGCGCCGTATGAGCATATATCGGCCACGTCCACAGGAGTGCCTTCCGGGGCAGCCGGCGACTGGTGCGCAAAGGGGCAGTCTTTTCTGGTACAGCGAAGATTGAAGCGGCAGACACTGTCGGTATTGCTCTCATCCTGTGCGCCATCAGGCTTGGTGTCCATGTCGCCGTCGGTGGGTGATTTTGCCGAGACGCCATGGTGCTGGGCACGATTAGAGACGTTACCATGCGGGCGTCCTTGACGCTCAACACGGTCGAACAAGGAGCGCCCTTGTTGCTGTTGGTTGTTTTGTTGAAAGGCCGGGTTGATCGCAGGTGAGACAAATCCCGGCATGAGCTGCGCCATCATCCGAGCTTGTTCCTCGAGCAGCGACATCAAGTGCATCTGATCTTGCGGGCTCATGTTCATCATCGATTGGGCGGCACCCATGGGCAGTCCGTTATTCATTTGCCGCCTACCCCCACCGTTCTGATGAGGCCGTCCTTTGGTGTGGTCCCGACCATGAGAATTGATCCGGCCATGTTGACCGCGGACACGGTGTAAAGTTGAGTCACTGTTGCGATCTAAAGCTCTGTTGATCTGGTTCAACATCCGACCCCTCCCAGCTTGGCGGCCGCCACGCATCGCCTTCGGTCCTGTAGGTCTGAGTCCATCATTGTTAGCTGAAGTCCGTGACACGTGCCTCAGAGCGGCAACCCACATCGAATCGTCCGTGTGCGAGCCATCAACCATGTTCATAGTCGCATCCTGATCTCCTCCTCCATTACCCTCTTGCGAGGTCGCTGTTTGGTCGTTGAACGACGGGATAGCCTGTGCCGTCTCGTTTGCGACCGGTGCGCCACCGCCGTTGATCTGTCGATTAAGGACTTCGACCTGTTCGAAGAGCCACCTTGAGAACTCCAAAGCCTGTGTATCTCCTTCACTGCCAAGGCCGAGCAAATCATTGGAAAGTTCGTCTGCGATCTGTTCTTGACTTTTGCCATTGACTAGCATCAGGATAATGTATTCAATCAAAGCTGAATCATCACCGCCGTCGGAGGTCCAACCCATCTCTGCGAGTTTGGGCTGGATGGCATTGCTCAAGGCCTCCGCGAGAGGGGTACCAGCCGCGATTTCTGTTGTCATTGTGAAGAGCGTGTGGTGTTGAATGCGATCGATGCAAAGGATTGACGGCCGTACAATAATAGGTCCCGCGCCACCCGTTCAAAGGAAGGTGCTATCGCAACAAAATCTGCTTCTGCTATAGCAAGAAGAACCAAGTACAAATCGCAGCCTATGCAAAATTGTGATCTTTAGGTAAAGAAGGGTCAAAGAAGGAGTAACACGAGTCGCCTGTTTTGGGAATATCCTATGAGACTTCTTGGGTGATGAGGCAAGACGCCAAGCTGATTTCATCAGCCACATAGTCACGTGAACTGATGCTTGGCAATATGACAAACGATGCTTACATACTCCTTTGGTGCCTTGTTGCCTTGTTGTCTCGCTGTTTTATCGGCTGTCACTTCCGAGTACCTCTATATGCTCTAACTCCACGGGTACAACAAGGGGATTCAGGCTGGTATATGGTCGAAATATCATCTTTCAAATTGAAATGAGATTCAGTCAAATTCTCCGAGCTCCACCTTTCAGGGCCGTTACCATCATTCATCAATCCTCTCTTCCTTGAGAGGATCCAGTAGACCGGTATGCCTCGAGAGATGACCCTTTGAACAAACATGGAGTGAAGGGCTCCTGGATATCCCATTTGAAGCATGATTTTTATATCGAGTATTATGCGGCCCATTATGATCCGGTGGTCCAGCTAGAGGTGATTCCATTATGGCAATGACAGCCAATATCCCTACCGCATGCGGCATATGAGCTATCAGACAAGCGAGATTCCTACATATGATCACAATTATTAGCATGTATTTCAAAAACCGCCACCAAGGTCTGGAAACTAACTAGGCAATAGTCGATTCTTATGCAAGGGGGTGTTTGCAAGCATACTGTGATGCACCTGAAAGTGGATAGACGGTCAATTTAGGCTCGACTGGCTGTTTGCGGGCTGGTTGGGAGGCAAAGACTAGCAGGTCGTTGTCTCGTTGACTCATTAGTCTGCTATAACTATCCACATATGGGCGGCCTTCGATCAACGCGCTCTCCAGATCCAATGAGCTTACTTTCCCAACATCACGTCGCTTGTCTGGGTCTGTATTGCGTTGAGGTTTGTATGCACGTCGCGAACTGGCGGTCTATCTCCGAGGGACTGTGTCCCAGCTACCTCTGTCTCAGGTGCAGCTAGTTTGACGTATGAAATATGCTTTTGCATGAACCGGTTGCATATATATATTCTGTCTTCCCTGTTTTTCTCAGCAGGTGACTTGTCTGCATGAAGCGGTTGCATATTTCAATATAAACTCTGTGTTCCCTGCTTTCCTTAACAGATGACTTGCGTGATTCTTCTGTGGGATGTTTGAGAATCTGCGACTCAGCAACTTGCCAAGATGATCGAGGAACTCCTTGCTCAGATACATCCGGGGCGGGCAGCCCTCTATGTCTTGGGGCTTTGTTCTTCGCTTGCTTGATTCGTGGGGCACAGGTGTCGAAGGAAATCTCGAAGCTGGGTTACAGAGCCCCGAGAATTCGTTTCTGCCTCCCATGGGGTAGGTTGCCGCAAACAGTCAAGAAGCTTTCCGGGTGATGCGAGCATGGCTGACAGTTGGAACAGCAATTGATTTCCTTTACGGAGCATCCAAGGCCAACGGCGACGGTACAGACCATGTATTTCTGCATCAAGCGATCCTGAACGCGAAAGGAGCAACCCAGCTTGACTGCGTCAAAACCGCCGAGCTTAATGGAGGTATCACGCGTCGAGTCATTCTGACCAAAGACCCTGAGAACATCAAGGCTATTCTTACGGGACAATTCGCCGATTATGGGAAAGGCGAGGAATTCCATGAACAATGGAAAGACTTTCTAGGTGACAGTATCTTCGCCACGGATGGTGAGCTCTGGTCCCGTTCACGCCATCTCATCCGACCAATGTTTGTCCGGGATCGCATCGTCGACACTGAGATCTTTGAGAAACACGTCCAGAACCTGATTCCTCTGTTGGATGGGAGCAACTCGCTCAGTGCGAGCAAAGTCGTCGATGTCGGTTCTCTGTTTTTCCGTTTCACCCTGGACGCAGCCACGGATTATCTCCTTGGCGTTGGCACAAACAGTCTGCACAATCCGGAGACCAGATTCGCCGAGGCCTTTGGATATGTGAAGCATCGCCAATCCGAGATCTTTCGGCTAGGGTAAGCTTCTTTGCCATTCGCGAACGCGTGAAGTGGGGTGACTAACACTAGTGATGGAATCAGCATGTTCAGCTTCATCGTGACGAAGAGGAAATTCCGCCGGGAACTCAAAGTGATGGACGATTTCATCCAACCATACATCAAACGAGCCCTCTCTCTGACACCCTCTGAACTCAATCAGAAGATCTCCAAGCGAGAAACCTTCCTGGACGCCCTAGCCCGCTTCACTCGCGACCCGCGCGTCCTCCGTGACCAGATCGTCGCCGTCCTCCTCGCCGGCCGCGACACCACAGCCGCAGTCCTCTCCTTCTGTGTCTTTGAGCTAGCCCGCAACCCCGATGTCGTCGCCAAACTGCGCGAGGAGATCAGCGCCCGACTGGGTCTCGGCCCCTCGGCCCAGAAACCCAGCTACAACGACCTCAAGGAGATGAAGTACCTGAACGCCGTCCTCAACGAGACCACGCGCCTCTACCCCCCGTTCCCTTCAACGTCCGCTATTCCCTCCGTGACACGACGCTGCCGCGCGGCGGCGGTTCCGATGGCCACTCGCCAGTCGGCGTCCGCGCCAACACGCGCGTCATCTACTCGACGATGATCATGCAGCGAAGCGCAGAGAACTACGACCCGCCGGGCTCGCCGAACTACTTCGATCCGGAGAAATGGTTGCCCGACCGGTGGCTGTCCGGGTGGCAGCCCAAACCTTGGCAGTATATCCCCTTCAATGGGGGCCGAGGATCTGCCTCGGTCAGCAGTTTGCTACCATCGAGATGGGTTACACCGTTGTGCGTATCCTGCAGGCCTTCGACAGGATCCAGGCCATGCCGGCCAATGGGAAGGAGCGGGTCGAGGACCCGGTGCTGAAGTTTGAGGTTACGCTTAGCCCTGGTTCGGAACTGAATTGTGTTTTCGTGAGAGAGGGCGAGGATATTTTACCGTTGAAGGACGATTGAGTTCACTTCCACTCATGTTTTTTTTTGGATTTATAATATCGCATTTGCATGCATTTTATAGAGATAGACATAGCACTCACTATATCATACGAATACGAATCCCATACACCCAAAGCACAAAATCGAGCACAAGCTGTGGTACTTTGTTTTATTCACAATCAGATAGGTTCCGCTATGCAGCAATAGATTGTGTCGTGCATCTAAGCGCAGCTGATACCTTACGAACACCAAGGGGTGCAGCAAAGCCCAAACAATCAGCAGCACAAGATAGCCGTATCTATGCCTCTCAAAAAGCAAAAAGGCGCAAGACCCAGAGGGGCCATTCGAAAACTGAGATCTCACATCAGCAGTGGCTGTGGTTGTGCGACACATGGAAACCACTTTAGGTAAATGTACAGGGATGAGTTAGATATACGCTGCACCATCATTTCTACTAGTCAGAAATGGTAGACTTGACACCCGTTTAACTGTGGTTTGAGGGCATTCAACAGGATGCGCATAGCAATAATGGTCCAATAAGCCTCGCTTCTTCCATAAAAATATACTTCGTTAATTCGTCGCGACCGTAAGATGAACATGTACAGGTACAGATCCCAAGAAAACGCTAGACATGGGAGCACGAGACGCTCAGTAAAAAGAAAGCTTGAGTTTCCGGAGTTTCTTGAGTCGCTGCAGGATCTCGATCTTTCGCAGTTCCAGATAAAGGTCTTCCTCATCGGCGTCATCCAAATCTCCAGAGATACTTATCAATGGGAATTTGGATGTGGTAAGCTCTCCGTTGAGCTTTGGAGGCGTAGCATTGACAGCGTTATCATTCGTTACAACCTCCGGAGCGTTTTTCTTGATCTCCTTCTGAGCAGGTTGCAGTTGCACTGGAGGTGGTGGCTCATCTCCAGACCAGCCCTTGCACATTGCCACGGCCTTTTCCCATCTTGCGAATGACTTGGCGCTTTCTTCGTGACTGATCTTGGGCTCAAAGACGGCTCCTCCGGCCCGGTTAATGTCTCGCAGTTCAGCGAAATTTCTCCACAGTCCTACCGCCAGACCAGCTGCTATGGCCGCACCAAGTGCAGTTGTTTCCCGCATTTTGGGGCGGTAGACCGGGATCGAGATGAGGTCTGCTTGGATCTGGTGGGATATTAGCTTCGAGAACTGACAATAGAAGGGCTCATGTCTGTACCTGCATCGCAAGGTCTGAGTTGCTCATGCCTCCATCAACCGCCAATTCTGACAGCGCATGTCCACTGTCTTTCTCCATTGCGTCCAAGATGGCCTTGGTCTGAAAGCAGGTGGCCTCTAGCGTCGCCCGAGCAATGTGGCCCTTTTGGGTGTACTGTGTGATCCCAACTGTCGGGGGAAGTCAGCGCCGATCAAAAGGAACATTAACCCTAATTGCCTTACACATTGTCCCCTTTGCATCGTCAATCCAGTAAGGCGCATAAAGACCACTGAACGCAGTGACAAATACACACCCTCCACTGTCTTCTACCGTCTGAGCCAAATCGTTCACTTCCTTGGACTCTTGGAAAAAGTTCAGGTTGTTTTGTAGGAATTTGATGCCAGATCCGGCGACTGCAATGCTGCCCTCAAGGGCGTACACCGGCTTGCCATCGAAGTGGTATGCCACAGTAGCAAGAAGTCCATGCTTGGAGATGACTGGCTTTTCTCCAACATTATATAGAAGGAAGCAGCCCGTTCCGTAGGTGTTCTTCGCCATTCCTGGCGAAAAGCCCTTTTGCCCTACAAGCGCCGAGGACTGGTCACCAAGGCAGCCCATAATCGGAACGTCAGCAAGTATTCCAGATGCCAATGCTCCGTAAGCTTTGGCGTCTGAAGACGGCACAATCTTGGGCAGGTGGACTTTTCCTCTGATACCAAAGAAGTCCAGGAGAAAATTGTCATATTGGAGGGTCTCAAGGTTCATAAACATCGTCCGAGAAGCGTTTGTAGGGTCAGATACAAACACGTTTGCCGATGCGCCGCCATTCAAACGATATACAAGCCACGCATCCACCGTACCGAACGCCAGTGTGCCTCGTTCGTACGCATCCTTAACTTTGGGCACATGTTCTATCATCCAGAGGAGCTTCGTGGCGGATGAATATGTTGTCAGCGGAAGACCGCAAATCTGCTGCAATTGCGACGCCTCGCGCTTTTGCTTCAGCTCGTGAACAATAGCCTGCGGCCGTGTATCTGTCCAGACGATCGCGTTGTAGAGTGGCTCGCCAGTTTCATGGTCCCAGACGACGGTAGTTTCCCGCTGGTTTGTGATGCCGATCGCCTTGACACTGTATCGGGAGTAGCCCTCTGATTCAAACTGTTTGACCGCCTCTTCGATGCACGTCTCAACGGAAGACACCAGCTCAAATGGGTCGTGTTCATGCCATCTGTGGACGGTCACTCAGCATCAATGCGGCTAAGCGAGTTCATTTAGAGTGGACATACCCGGGATTGGGGTAGATCTGCGTAAACTCGACCTGATGCGATGCTACAGGCTCACCGTCTCGGTTGAAAATCAGAAATCTGGAGCTGGTTGTACCCTGATCAATCGATCCTACAAAGATCTCTGAGGGCTGCATGATTGCCTGGTCTTATGCTCGGGACTCTGGAGCAACTATGAACTCCGTGTGATGGCTTGGAACAGACAGTAAAGCGGATGGTGAACCCCACGGAGACAGTGAGGATATGTTCGAAAGGAAAGAGTGGAAAAACCACATTTTGGAGATAGCTGCCATTCTATCTTAAATAATCCTCGAGCAAGCTATCCCACGCCATTTTTCTGGTCACACAATTTTTCCGTCTGGCATCTGATCTGCGGGGTGAATCTCCTTGGGACGGGGGCGCATTCGACTGGGTGGTTAAGGTTAGGGAGGGGTGGCCGAGATCGAATAACGGAAAAGCATAATAATAATCATGGGGACTGGAGAAAGGAGTCCTCCCGTAAGGTGAGAGGTACGAGCCCAAAATATCCAGAGACCGGGGAATCAATAACACGACCGAACCCGAGCAGTGCTTTAGTGTAGCGGCTGGCCAAGCCCATGCCTAGGGACAAGCGACTAAAGACATGTCGGTCTCATGTTGTGCTCCAATGAGGAGAAGAGCTGGGAAACGGGCTCGAGAGCCGGTCGTCCTGATGGCCATGGGTTTCATCAACTCTGAATGGACGAGAATGAATGGCTTGCAGCAGCTTGTCCTGTCAGGCCGTCCACTTTCGACCTCTCTTAGACTCTCTCTCGGGTGGTTGCGTGTCGACCAACATGCATATTCCCGGGAGGAGTCTATCAGATCCATCAATATTGTATCAATAACAGTTAGATGCAAAGTCGCATTCTGGGGATTCTCTTGTATTGAAAGCCCAGTCTCATCAAACTAGTGAGAAGGAGAGAACGAGAGAAGGCAGGGTGGAGCACGAGACACTATGGAGTACCCGAGCTAGGATAATTCTACCCGCGCTCTCGGGACTTTTTCATCAACACCTCCTCTCAGTCCTCATCCGATTTCATCCACAATTACCGTCATTTCGTTTGCTGAACTTCCGATTCATGCAATGCTACCTACTGCAGTCATACTATCCTCGACGTGCATGAGAAGCATGTGTTATTCGAAGCCAAACAGGCCTATCTTGGGTTGTTGCCATTGCCCAGTCAACTACAGTGGAAATGATCGGCCCCCACAGTACCAGCAACTAGCTACCATGCCGGAGGAATTGCGGGGACTGTCATCAGTGGGATAATCGATTAGTCGAATGATGGTCGTCCCATCCAAAAGTTCGAGAACTTTGTGGAGCACAACTGGAGACATCTCGCAGCATGGAGAGTCGATCTTGACCGAGCCGCAAGACAGTTTATCAGAACACACAAGGCAGTCTTGAAGTAGGAGAGTCGCACCAACAACAAGCTTTTCTGTGCTCATGGAATTACGGAAGCTGCGAGAAGAAAAATTGACCAGGCTGATACTCACTTATTGCCACTTACCAAGGACATGGGCAATTGTCCCGCCAAGTTCACCAATCTCCAAGACAGCCGATCGTCTCAGCCAAAACCCCTCAATCCTTGCCGTCTCGTTGCAACTTGGCCCATGTCAGGAGGTAACACAAGGACAAATTTTGGAGTCATGTCCTCAAACGTTATGCAGGCATGGGCCGAAGCCCCTCTTCGGTGTCTCAAGCTGACCAGTGTCTGACCACTTGGTATGCCTTAAGACGGAATGGTTCGAGACGTCGAAAATGGTCGAACAGGCTCATGCTGTGTTCGAGGATGCGACTGAAAAGTAGGTCACTCCGACTGGACGACTGGAGCGAACGAATCGCAGTTTTTCGCCTCGGTCGTTCATGGCTGGTCTTCCATCAGCCCTCACAACCCCGGCCGAAAGTGAGCAATCAGAACGAGGACCTCAATAGTCCTCGAAGGACGACAGTCCTTGCCATGACGTGGCTGTATGATGCCGCTTTGCGCAGCAACGAATCTCTTGGACATTCTATTTCCAAAATCTACTCTTGCTCTGTCTCTGAGCGCATGGCTGATGGGCTTCTACGGCACAATGCACACATATTCCAGGAAAAGGCATAACCTTACTGGGGGTGTCACCATGCGTGTCAGGAAAGAACGAGCGGGTTTGAACGTGCCACTCAGGCAAAGTGACACTGGGGACTACATATTTCAGTGCCTTTATGTCTGGGTATAAGGACTATAATCTGAATGTATAGCAATGCCTATTGCACACGGCAAGTTCCGCTTGTGAACGGTATTTTCCATCTAGTATCAGGTCTTGGTGCATTGCCATTCACTTCCGTGCTCACCAGCCCCGGCCCTCCCCCTCAGACCATTCACTTGTTGTGATATTTATACCTTCCTACTTCAAGTCTCGCCTCGATAGCTTCAGCATTCACGTCTCTACATCTCTTCCACCCTCTACCAACCCGTGCTGTGGTCTTCAAAGGCTGTCTTCGTCTGTTCACAATGACTATCCTCAAACAAGCCCTCGATAATGCAGAGATACAGGAGAGTGCTTTTGTCACTATGACTGCTAGTAATAAAGGCAGGGCTTCTATGCTGGAGGATGCTTTTGGGTCCCAAGGGGCTCAGGTCATGCTTCCTGAACCAGCTTGGAGCAAGATCCGGACTTACTGCCGTGATGCATTCTCTGAATTCTTCGGGACTATGATCCTCATCCTCTTTGGAGATGGCGTCGTTGCTCAGGTCGCACTTAGCAAAGGAGAAAAGGGTGACTATCAATCCATCTCCTGGGGCTGGGGGTGAGTATTCTCTTGGTCTTTGCTGCTCATTCCTCTGGCAATTTACTAACGGAGAGTTGCTCTTCAGGATCGGAGTCATGTTGGGTGTCTACGCAAGTGGCATCTCGGGAGCACACATCAACCCTGCAGTGACCTTTGCAAACTGCGTCTTTCGGAGATTTCCCTGGCGAAAATTCCCCGTCTATGCCATTGCCCAGATACTGGGAGCTATGTGTGGAGCAGCTATTGTCTATGGAAATTACAGATCGGCCATCGATCAGTTTGAAGGGGGAGCGCACATCCGGACGGTGCCTGGGTATTCTCCTACAGCCACCGCGGGTATCTTCTGTACCTACCCGGCGGAATTCATGACCAGGACGGGACAATTCTTCTCGGAGTTTATCGCCAGCTCCATCTTGATGTTTATGATCTTTGCTCTGAAAGACGACGGAAATCTCGGGGCCGGTCCCCTTACCCCCCTTGCGCTCTTCTTTGTGATCTTTGGCATTGGCGCTTGTTTTGGGTGGGAGACCGGGTATGCCATCAACCTCGCTCGAGATTTTGGGCCTAGGTTGGTCTCGTATATGATCGGATACGGTCCCGAGGTTTGGAGGGCGGGAAACTATTACTTTTGGGTATGCCTTGACTCTATTGAATACTATGACTGATGTGCAGAACTAATAACCTATCGCAGATCCCCATGGTAGCGCCATTCATAGGGTGCACTTTCGGCGGATGGGTGTACGATATGTTCCTGTACACGGGGACAGATAGCCCAGTGAACACGCCATATGCCGGACTACGGCGGCTGATCCAGCCAGTGGAGAAAAAGTCGATTGACTCGCAGAGCCAAGTATGAACGGGAAGTAGCATGATGATTAACGAGCTTATGTGACACGTTTTGAGGGAAAAACACGATTGGACGATTCTTGGACTAGTGTAGCATATAAGTTGAAGCGACGATTACGGCTCTGGGTGATACAAAAACGCTTGCATGTACTCCACACTATCAGTGGAATGGAAATGTCAAATGTCATATTCGTTTCGAACACCCAAGCCTTCTAGCCTCTGGCTCCGTTAACCAGAGCGTGGCCATAAGCCATGTAAGACATCGCACAGGAGACCCGGCGTGTAACGGACTCTATCGCAAATGCATGTGAACATACTAGGATCTATCGTCAATAATAATACCACTATTATCAAGTCTTTGGAGAAGTCAACCTCGTCGCGTGATATATATGCATCTCATAGATTCAAATCTCGCAGTCAACAAACCAATCAACCCATGTCAAACTCCCTCCCAATACCACCGTGCCATCCACGCCACGTAAGAACTAGCAGTGCCGCGCCTCCTCAGCAACGGGGAATCAACCCCAACCCGGCAACTGTCTACCGCTGCAAGTCTATTTTGTATTTTCCCCAGAAGTACGTCGTAGGTATATTTTCCATTGACGTGCAGCATACCCGATCCGTCCTCCTGCATGGGCGGTTTAGTCTGGGATAGGGACTATAAGGGCTAGGCATTGGGGTACCTAACTGTAGAGTGGTGATGGAGCCGAGGATATCCGTTTTGTGAATCGAGGATAGACTATGGTATTTACCGAGGATTCTCTGGTAGTAGGTAGGGACAGACTTGCCATGAATCACTTTCTTAGTCCTCGTTCTTGTAAGTAGGTTCATTTGACCGGAAATCAGGTCCGATGGGTATCGTATCATATCATCATGAAGCAAGGTAGGTAGGTACTATCAACAACATCATCATTACTGTTCTTCAGCTCAAAGTTTTCAATTATAGACGTCACTCTGACAATGATTCTCCTCTCTGTAGAATCCTTACCAGGAAGGTAGTCTACTTTCATAATCATCAAACAGTCCTAGTATAGCACATAACCCTAACCCGTAACCACATCTAGATTCATATCTTACAGACGAACGTCGAACAGATATCTCTCCAAAATGGCTCCGTATAAAACGGAAGAAGAATCAAACAGACCGAACTACGGAACCAAATCCGATTTTGTGGAAAAGTACGTCCTCCGTCCAGTCGGCAAACCCCTGACAAAGGAGTACCGCGTCTACTTCAACCTCAATGACAAGCTCCTCTCCCCCTGGCATGATCTGGCGCTGTACCCAGGCAGCGGACGCCAGCCAGTGGTGCATATGGTTGTGGAGGTACCGAGGTGGTGGAGTGCGAAGATGGAAGTAAGTCCTCTCTCTGTTCTCTTTGACACGCATTGAACGATCGATTGATGAGAATAACGGCAACAGATCGCAAAAGACGAGTATCTCAATCCCCTCAAGCAAGATATCCAGGACGGCCGGTTAAAGTACGTTCCCAACATCTTTCCGCATAAGGGGTACCCCTTCAACTACGGGATGCTGCCTCAGGTACGCTCGCTCCCATACCTTCAATTAATAAACACACAAATTGATAGAGAATTGAACAGACATACCAAGATTCCAACCTCAACGACCCTCTCACTAATCTTCCAGCAGACGGGGACCCACTCGCTGTCTGCGAACTCGGCGGCGCAATGCCGCGTCCTGCACAGGTCAAACGGGTCAAAGTCCTCGGCTCGCTGGCCGTCATCAACGAGAATAAGACGGACTGGAAGATCCTAGTTGTTGACTTGGAGAATCCCGAGGCGGACAAGCTGAGTGATATCGGGGACGTCGAGTCGCTGATGCCAGGGTATCTGGACACAATCAAGGAATGGTTCCGGGTGTATAAGCTGGCCGAGGGGAAGAAGGAGAACGTCCTTGGTGCAGATGGGGAGCTACAGAATCAGAAGTATTGCATCCCGCTATGCTTGGTTGATTGCGCGTAGGAAGAGCCGTGAACTAATCGCGGATGATGCAGGTATACCCTCTCGCTCATTGAGCGGTGTCATGACTCCTGGAAAGCTGTCAAAGAGGTCGAGCCAGGCATGCAAGCAAGGATTTCTATGTGAGTTAGCTGCGTCAGTTAAAGAAAACTCTTTCTGAACATAGTCAGGGCGGACATTGCGCCTCAGGAGCATGGTGCGGTTGATGTCCTTCCACGAACATCAGAAGATCGAGATGTCTGTCGTGACATCAATCCCATAGCAGCTGAGAAGAGTCATTTCCTATCGCCCGATTGGCCTCCCATGGCTGCTTGCCGCGGTGGTGCTCTGAATGTGTAATAGATATGTAGATTAGAAATGAGATGATCGCTTTTATAGACAAGAAACCAGAATACTCCAAAGGATCTAAATGGTCAAGTTGATAAAATCTAAGGAGCCAAGACTGCCATCTTATCTAGCTTACAAACTAAGAAGCCACAGGCCTCCGTCCTAGGATGATAGCCGCCTGATTCAAGTCCTCATCCTCGAACCTATTTTTATTGTCAGCCCTTGATCCCGCCTGCAGAAGGAGGCAAAGGAATACCCGAGTACAGCCACGCCCGCTGTCTCAATCAGAAGCCTCACCCCGCACTTCAAAGGCAGCCCGATCCATCGCATAGCCAACGCAGCTAGCGACTGACCAGATCCAATACAAACGATATCCCGAGGCTCCTCACTGACATGAGGAACCATCCGGCCTCCCGGCCAGGAGGCAGTGGTACTCTTGAGGACTTCTCTCATCTCCGAGATCAGCTCGTCAAGGCGATCGCTGACCTGTTGAGGGTTTCTAAGAGACAAGTCAGCCTCCATCCATTTCCTTTGCCAACGTATGCAATGTCACAAGAGGAAAGAAAGAAGACATACTCGCCGCCAGGACAGCCTGTCTCCCAGATTGACCAAGGACCTTCCTTGTCCAGGCCCCCTTGTCTGCGTTTCTCGCGAATTTGGTCCGTGGTCATCCCTTCATATTCGCCGTAGTCCCATTCAGCAAGGCTGGGAGTGATCTGGATCGTCGCCTCGGCTATGTCGCCCGTAACAGGAGGGATCGCGGTCGTTGAGGTCTGCTTGGTGGTTCGATCATAGAAGTGCTGATGTTGGTGCACTCCCAGACGGAGGATTTCGCACGTCTGACGATCTCGTCTCCTTGGAGTGATATATCTGATGTTGAAATTCTCCTTCAGCTTCTAGGTCTCACGTGTATGATGGCAGTAAATGTGAGCAGCAGAGGCCTTACATGCGTGAGACCCTTTTGGGATCGATCAACTTGCCCCCACCCACATACTGCTCCCTAGTCAGTTCGACTTGTTTCTCCCCTGCTGTGGATAGTTTATGGTCGGTTGTGCTGATATGCTGCATCCCCCGGGTCCCTTCGGTTTCACCATGACGAATCAAGAATATACGGGAACTCATTTTGGATGAAATGCAAGCCGGTAACCTGTCAGCGCGATGTTGTGTAGCTCTGGAGAGAACAGCTCCAAGATATTGTTCGTGTGCTGTCGGACACAACGCCCACCTAGGATTGTAACATCGAGGAACCGACCCTTTTGACGTGATGTCATTCCCAATAAATAAACATGTTCATACCTACTTCACAACGGAAATTGCGGTCCGTCCACTGTCGGGATATACTCCCATAGGATGAGGTAGCCTGACCTCAACATTAGGCAGGTACCAGGAATATACCTCCAAGGAAATAATCGTGGTTAAGTACCAGGCGACCTTTCGTGCCTTTCGTGCAAAGCAGCAGAGAAGCCTGAGATGAGCCTCATGAACCGATTAGGCTGACGTTGTCCGTTCTTGGGAAGTTATTATCGTATCACGAATTAGTATTGGGTGTTGTCTAGTCTATAAACACTTTTCGCCGGAGAATAAGCAATACAAGAAGTAACAAACCAGGTGGTGGACTCGATCAGCCTTCCAATCTGGATAGGGGATCGATGCGAACACTATCACCCAGTGCGCCAAGGCAAACAATGTGACCCATGCTGTGCAACAATTAGAGACAAGAAAGAAACGCTCCCATCCCTGAATGATAGAAGGAAAAGACCAAATTGCAAAAAGAGAAAAACAAAACCACCGAGTCCGTGTCTATACAACATACAATCCGTCGTCGTGGGTAAGTCATGCATTCATTAATCAATCGTCTCGTGTCCGTAGTCGTCAATCGTAAGTATGATGGAGTGCATTGCTTCTTCGAAAAAACCTCAGCTCAAAAGACTGCCATGAGGCCGCCAAGGAGCGCACAGAAGACACCCATTCCGACGGGCGCCTCCAGCAGGTCATTGGCTGCGGCAACGGTAGGGGCCACACGTGCAATCGAGGCGGAAAACGAGGGAAGAGTCGAGCCATAAGTGCTAATCTGGTAAGTAGTTGTTGAAGCAAGATGTCCGGTCGACTTTGTCACACTTGAACTACTCGAGACGGAACTGGTTTTAAGCCCGGAGTGGGAAGATGAAGCCGGCGACGAAACTAAGGAATATGACGTACAGAGGGCCGTAGACTATATTTGTAACGAAAGAAAGGTATCAGCATGTCTCGATCGAAAAAGCGGCAGAGGCAAATGAAGGGCAATGCTCACTCACAGAAGCCGCACTGGGCGGCTGGACTTGTCGAGATCCGGAAAAGGTCCAGCCACTGGGCAGAGTCGTATCCTTCGCAACAGAAGACGACAAAGTGGTAGACTTGGGAACCCAGGGCCAGATACTTGGAGTTACAAAGCTCGACGTCTCACGGTGCGTGCCACTGAAAGGAATAGGAGCACTGTCAATTGTCGCGGTCACAGGAGGGGCAGACTCGACAGTTGAAATGGACTCAGCGTCACTATTACCATTGATTTGACCTCCATCGGAGGTGATGGACCGCCACGAGCCACTCTTGTCGCTATAAGTATACGTTTTACCCGTCGAGTAATCGGTCGCTACGAGCGACTTGAGGTACATGGTATAAGGACCCGCGCTGTAATCGGTTTCGCCACCAGCCCATTCTAAGAGGCGTTAGCATATATCGCCAGTCGATATCATCACCGCAGTCAGGATGGTCACTCACGAATTGTGCCTGGCGCATTGTTGGGATCACCACCAGCCCATACACCAACCTTGACCATCATTGGGCTCTGCGGGTAATGAACCCCGGCACTCTCAGCAGTGAGAACCCGGACAGTCTTGCCATCAATTTGCCAAACAGTCTGCGTACTAGTCCAGTCGATTGTGTATGTGTGGAAAGCATCCTGGTTTCCAGCATTGTCGTGGGCAGCGCCGCGATTGTAGCTGCCAGTGTCTCCTTTTCCGAAGTAGTTGGTCTGAACATACAGATTGTTTGCTCCGAGCCATT